CACCTCATGACTGTCCCCCATCCCTCACAGATGCTGGGATGTGGGGCCAAAGCCGCCGAGGGAGGGAGACCCACTCGGTGTTAATTATCTGACCAACGAGGCAGCACAGTGTCCTGAGACTGGCTCCCAACTCAAGAGCTGCACCCCGTGCTCGAACGTCAGGAATCCATGTGTGCGCTTTCCTGGCTCGCGCACGCCCCCTGCCAGCAGCGTTGTCCCCCCCACCCCCGTCCACGGTCCACAGAGAGCTGCCAGGGCACTTGGGCATCGTCAGCAAGAGGGCCTGACTCCTCCTACATGCAGCCACGGCGGCATTAGACTCAAGATGCCCTTAAACATGTGGACACAGTGGAAGTGAGTGACACCTGAGAGCTCACTGTTGAACAAAGGACAGCATGAAAGAGCCCCTCAGCGGGTCTCCAAATCTTCCGGCAACCTTGGCCCGCCCGAGCCCCCGTCTGTGCTGGAGGTGTCCAAGGGGCCCGGCCCAGGGAGGGCTGCTCCACCCTGCAGCAAGGGCATGTGGTCCGGGCTCCCTGCTCGAGTGTGCCAAGACAGAGGGTGGGCTGTGCCTGGCTCAGACCATGCCCAACCCCCAGCAGCTGTCGGGCCAGAGCCGGGTTCTCCCCCTGGCCCGAGCTGCCACACACACAGGGCCGCAGAGGGGTAGGCAGCCTAGTGATGAGCCCTTCTGATATGGAGGGTGAAGAGAAGGGAGGGAAGAGTACAGCCAGCTCCTGGGGACAGCCTGGACTTACCCACGAGAAGCCACCCAGGAGACCTGGGGGAAAGCCCAGCCGCCTCCAAAACCAGAGTCTTGTCCACCTCACAGCCGCCACCAAGAGGGGGACAGGGACACTGTCCCTGGGACATGGCAGATATCAGGGTCCCGGCCAGGAGAATCCCGGAAGAATGACAGGCCTCCGGGCCAGGTGCGGGCGGGGCGCTCCCACGCAGGGCCCACATGCTAAGAGAACAAGGGGACGGCTACATGAACCTGGAACACGCTGGCTTCCAGTGATTCTCCTATAGCAACCGCCACAGAACCAGCTGCTTAGAGATCAATTTCGTCCTGAGGACGTGTTGCTTCCGGTGCTTGAACACAAGGAGAAGTTTCACACTTTATCCACTTCCACATCCCTAACAATAAAAACTCACTTAAAAGACCCATGAATATGCAAATGCCATTTTAAACATGGAAATGAAAAATGCGCAGGAAACAGTCTGGGTGTGCAGCATTAAAGGCAGCTCGTCTGGCTGGGAAGAGACCCGGGACTTGGCTGCGGTAGCGGGGAGAGGAGCCAGGGTGCTGCAGTCGGTCGAGCGGAGCTGGCTTGACCTCGGCCATGGCCTGCCCTTGCCCTCCAGAGGCTGGCCCTGCCTGCCACCGCCTCCAGAGCCACAAGGACCAAATCTAGTGTTCCTGCCAGTGCCACCTCCAACTCGGGCCACTCACCCAGCCCAGGCAATGTGGTGAAGGGGCACAGGAGGGAGGGCTTAGTCCCGCCTCACCCTGGGCAGGGTCAGGAGAGCCAGGTGGGGATGGGGTTGTGTCCCCAGACCCCAGGTGACATAGCAGGTAAGCAGACTCCACAGCACCAAGCGCAGGGACGGGTGCTGGCCCAGTCCCATGAAGAGATTTGGAACTTCCTGGTCTGCACATTCAGTGAAAGGACCAGAGGTCAGTCTCTCAGCTGACAGCGGGCAGGGCCTGTGCTGGGCCACACAGGCCACCCCCAGGGAGCAGTGCCCAGAAGCGCATATGCACCAGAGTGAGGGCCTGCGAAGTGTGCGGCCCATGATCCCGACACAATAAGGCCAGGCTTCTCAGAGAGCCCTGCGGCCCTACCCTCGGGAGCCCAAGGTGGACGAGGTGGCTCGCTTCTTGCTGCTCCCACTGTAGTCCAGACCAGCAGGGTCACATTGGAGCCTGCTTGGAAACACAGACCCTCAGCCCCTGTGCCAGACACGCTGAGCCACAGCTCACGTCTGAGGACCAGCAGTAGGCTCTCTGCGTCTGGGCCGTGGACAAGTGCCGCACTAAGTGGCCGTCCTAGGACACCACAGGGCAGAGTGGAGCCAGCCGAGTGCCCACCCCAACATAAGAGCCATGCTCGGATGTCGCCTTTGGACAATTAAAAACACCCGAGTGCCTGTGGCAGGAATTTCCATCCACTCGCATCCTGACTCCAGCTCTGCACGAGCCTGGGAGGAGCGCAGGAGCCCTCTGCCGCTGCCTTCCCGGCAAGTCCCCGGATTGGAGGCCAGCCCCCACACCCAGCCGCCCACTGAACGCCACCCCGCCAGCAGCCGCACGGGCACGCCAGGTGCTGACCCTGAGCCAGACTTCCCACTGGGCCTCAGGAGGGCCTGGATTCTCTCTTAGGGCTGACAGGGGCTTCGTCTCAGGGACAAAAGCCAGACGGTCTGTAAAATGACAGCAACTCAAACAGGCCCAGAGCCACGTGTGTGGGTGGTCTAGCTCCCCCTGAAAGGTGCAATGTGGGACCTGCGGAAGGGTTTCTGGGGAAGCCAGGAACCAGGGGCTAAGGCAAGGGGAGAGGAGAAGAGAAGGGCACCCCCAGGTGAGCCTCTGGCCAGCTCCTTTAATGCCTGTCCTCAAACCACCCCTCCTTGCCCTCTCTCCAACTGTCCCCCAAATGTCTGTGCTTGGTAACAGTGCTGGTAACAGCGCTCTGGGGGAGGCCCAGGGTAGGTGCTGAGGGCTCCACAGGAGATGTGGCTTCCAGTGCTCCAGCACCACCTCACGGCCAAACTCGGCACTGCAGGCAGGGCGGTGCCCTGCAGGACCGACAGACAGCCTGACAAGGCCCAGGGTCCCTCCATTCAGCCACAGGGGTCAAGGGGCTCCTAGGCTCTCTTTTCCAGCCTAATGACCAAGCAAGAAGGAAGGCGATTTGAGTACCAGAGTGGAGGGCAGACTCGCACAGGCACCTCGGAGGCCGGGCCCACGCTGCAGATCCTCCCATGTCACCAAAGATGGAAGGAGACACTCCTGACTTCCTGATAAGCCTGTGTGCCATGCATGTGCGCGGTGAGCCCACTGGGCCCCGCACGTCCTCCAGAGGCTTCCACAGAACAGGAAACCTATGCAGGAGCAGAACAGACAGACAGGGAACCCAACTGTGGGGTCGGGTGCTATGCAATCACCACCACCCTGGGAGGCAGACACTCCAGACCCCACGTTTGGAGAAAAAGAGCCGAAGCCCCTGTAGGGAACCAACCTTAGGCAGAGGCCAGTGTCCTGGTCATCAGTGTGCCCTGGACGTCAAGGTGCCCCTGCAGCCTGGCAGACACACAAACACGCCCACCACAGCCCAGGCAGTCAGGGACAGGAGCAGCAGCAAGCCCTCAGGCCTGGGAGAGCCACCCAGGGGTCCACAGACTGATACACGCGGGCCATACAGCAGGCAGGGCAAGTGTCCGTGGATGAGCGCCTAGGGACAAGCATCTAGGAACGCGCAGCCCTCGGGCAGGTGCCCCGCCTCTGGGCCGCCAGTTATGTTTTGTCTGCTTTGGTTTCTGGTGTGCTTCCCTACTCTGGCCGATCTCATTGAAAAGGCTCTTCTACACCCTGTCCACTGGCCAACTCTAGCCACAAAGCAAACATCTCTCCTACTGAACACACCCCTCATGCTTTTTCATGCTCCCGCATGAATGAGAACACACGTGTGCATGTGCACATGTGCACACCCCGACGCCCCCACCCCTGGCCAGGGCCTGCCCAGCGCACAGCCGCACTGCACCCAGGTTCGAGGAGCCGCAGGAGGAAAGCACTCGATGCTGAGGGCAGGTGCCTCGCAGATACCACCCGCCGCCCAGAAGGACACCACACGGACCCTGCCCGCCACCAGCCTGGACAGCAGCCTTCCCAGGCGCTGTCTGCCGGAAACAAGAAACCACACAACTCAGGTTTAAAGTAAAACAGCCAAGTCCACTGTCCAGCAGATGCTACGCACTCAGCTCTGAGCCGCTGACCTGCCGCAGTGCAGATCTGAGCCGAGGATGGGATAGGGCTGCAGGAGCCGGGGGCGGGGCACCCCGCCAGCTGGCAGGCAACAGGAGGCGCCAACTCATCAGCCCCACTGCGGCCAAGCCTGGGCAGACGGGACACCTTGGGGGAGGGCGGGCGGAGATGATGGACGAGCATGCAGGAAGGGGATGGGATGGAGGCGCCAGTCCACCCTCCCGTCACTGCTGACCGGCGCCCAACCCCATCCTGACTGGCTCGCATGAAGAGTCCCGGCTGAAGGAGACCAAGAAGAAACGCTGCGGAGCAACATGGCCTGACACACGTTTCAGGAAGACCCGTCCTGTGACTGCGGGGCTCGGGGGCAGGCAGTGCTGAGAAGAGCCGGTCGTGGGGACGGAGGCAGAGCTGAGTGAGTGGTCAGGAGCAACTACGGGTCAGGGGCACGACGCCAAGGAGCCAGCGTGAGAACAGGACCGAACAGGAGGGTACGGGCGGCATCAGAGGCAGACAACGTGCCACAAACACACGTGCCCTGGGTGTCGGGCGGTAAGTGCCGACTCAGGCCCCAGAAAAGGTCGCACAGCTCCTGCCTCTGGACCAGCGGCTCAGGAAGGAAGCCCACTGCGCACACCACAGCTGCGGCTACCGCAGCGCAGGCCATGTCCTAGAGGCCCTGCGAGGCTCTGTGGGCCTTCCTGAGTGCACCAGGCCACACACTCACAGATGCTGGAGCCTGGGCCCACCATTCCACACCACTGGGGACCCCTTGGAGTCCCCACCACTGCAAAGACAAGGTGCTCTTGATCTGGGTCCTGGAAGCCCGCTCCCAGAAACGCAGTGATGCCTGGCACGGCGCACCCCTGTGCTGAGTCTCACAGCCCCAGAGGAGCCACAGGGCTCACCTGGGCCAAGGCCAACAGGACAGCGAAGTACGCCGTGCAGCTGGACCTGAACCGGGCCAGGGTCCGCACTCACCGGCTCCTCCCCAGACAGATGCAGGGCCTACCTGCTGGTGATGGAGCTGTTCCTGTCCTTGAGGGTCAGCTCCCGCTGCTGCAGCTCCACGATGAACCTGGAGAGGTCTTCTGGGGTCCTGTGGGTCAAGAGCACACACTCAGCACAGGGCGGGGATAGGGAGCTTGGTCGCGTGCCTGCCCGGGGCCCCCAGCCCCACCTCAAACCATGGCCTGCCCCTTCTTGTGTCACACCGGGTAAATGACTTTCATAAGCCTGGTTTGATTTCACAGTACGAACGAGGTCCCTACACAGAGGCTATGAAGTGCTGTTTGAAAAGCAGAAGAGCCCACACCGCACCCCTGGAACCAAGGAGGAGCTCCGTGCACCTTGGTCTCTGTCCCCCTTGCCTTTGAAACCCCTGCCACAGCCCCAGCCCCTGGAAAACAACAGGTGCCCTCAGAAGCAACACTCTACGACTTTAGAGCTGTTTGGGGTTAACTATCTCAGCTCGCACCCAGCTCACTGCTCGGGAAAAGGAGGGGACAAGCCAGGGCATCCCGGAACCCAGGACTCTGCCCTGTCAGGAGGGAGTCATGGCAACACTGCCGAACCTGCTGGGAGCCCCAGGTGTGAACATGGAATCGTGAAAAGTTATTTTTTAAGATTTTATTTATTTTTAGAGAGAGAAGGGAAGGAAAAAGAGAGGGAAACACCAATGTGTGGTTGCCTCTTGTGCACCCCCCAGTGGGGACCTGGCCTGCAACCCAGGCACATGCCCTGACTGGGAATTGAACCGGTAACACTTTGGTTCGCAAACTGGCGCTCAGTCCACGGAGCCGCACCAGCTGGGGCATAGAAGATTATTAAACAAGTGCAGCCTTCACCTCCCATGAAATCAACAACCGAGGCCAAAGTATCTCCGACAGGCAGGATGAGTGTTTATTTTCCAGAGCCCTCCCGACCTGCTGAGGTCAGAGCTACTCAGGGGTGTCGACCAAGGCACCCCCGGGATCGGCGATCTGCTTGCAGCAGGCAGGACAGGGCGAGGGCTCTCCCAGCCCCAGAACAGCACAGGCACACCCCCAGGAGGACCACGCCTCCCACAACTCAGCTGCCACCCGGCGCAAGGTGCTCAGAGGGCTACTGGACCCTCCAGCCCAGGGACGGCAGGAGAGTGGCAGTTCCAACTGCAGCTTGAGCTGTAGCATCCGCTGCCCCACAGTCAGGCTGCAGCTGTGAAACCTTTTAACTCAAGCTGGTGGGCCCCAAAAGGGGAGAAGGTTTCTTTGTTCCATCAGAGCAGGATTCTGACTCAACCTCGGCTACATGCAGAACAGTGAGGGCCAGGGAGGTCGGCCCAGGAGACTATTCCCAGGGAAAGGCAGTTCTAGCCCCAGCAGCAGCTACTTTGAGGCTACTAATGGCAGAGGCTGGGGATCTTGCTGAAGCCCAGAGCACCTGTGTGGGCAGGTCTGAAGGAGGAGACCCAGGGCTGCAGTTTCTAAAGTGAAGGAAACAGCAACAACCAGACCTAAGCAGCAACCAAGAAACCTCACGGTCAGGACTCCTCAATCCTCGAGGACAAGCAGCGCCTTGGAGTGACAGCTCTTCCCAGGCCCCCCGACCAGGACACCCCCACGAGTGGCCCCCTCCCCGTCAGCCCTGCGATGGCCTCTGCATTCTGGGCCCCTGAACCAGTCCAGACCCAGCTCCTCCCTGGGCTGCTAGCAGCTACCAGACCCCAGCCCCAGACTCAGGCTGCGTGTGCTGGGGACTGCGGACTCCAGAACCCGGAGCCCTTTGCCTGCCATGCCACCTCTCCCACCCCAAGCTGGGCCCGGAACTCTGAGTCCCAGGTCAGGCTTCCGCCCGCCCTCCTTCCCAAACCCCACTCGCTCCATCCACTTCTGTGTGTTGGGGATGGAGACACAGCCGCTGCCCTGCCAGCTCCCAGCTGAGCACAAGCAGACACACCAGGGCTCTCTGCACAGCCACTTCGGTCCATGGACAGCCCTGTCAGAGCCGTCCCCAAACCAGACCCCCACTGCCCATCCCCTCCGGCTGTACCAGGACACCAGGGGCCAGGCCGCCCTTCTTCCGAGGACCAGAGTGAAGACCAGGTGACCGGTCCCCTTATGTAGTGCCTGCCCCTCAGGAGCCTGCTCCTCACACAGCTGCCACAGCGGGCACCGCACAGCGCAAGTCGGGGCTCATGCCTCCTGGGCAACTCTTCCATGCACCCCATCCCAAGGCCAAGGAGGAGCCATGCGGCCTCGCTGACACAGACCCCGAACTTAGGCCAGCTCGGGCCTCTAACTGCCTCTCCTGAAAGCCTCGCCCAGGCAGCCCGGGGGCCGGCTCCCTGTCCACTCCTCCAGGCCTCTGCCCCAGAGCCGCCCAAGGGCTCCCCGGGGGGCTGACTCCGGCTCCGGCTCCGGCTCCACACTGCAGGCCTCTCTCCCTCACCTATGCCCAGTTGCTCCAGCCTGCGCTACTTCCCTTCACGGGAGGCAGTGCATCTCAGGTGCTGTCGGTGTTACCCATTCGTGCACTAATATTTGTGGTCCTTCTGTGTCAACCAGAACGCATGCTGTGTAAAAGCAAGGAGCTGTTGACTCTGCTCCGCTTCCCCACTGGCCCCGGGCCTGGAGAATGCCTGGCACACCAGAAGGCTTTCAACAAATCTCAGCTGAGCAAACAAAGAACTGGAGCCTTTCCAGGACAGGAGCCGCCCAACCCAACGGCACCGCAGCTGGGAGACACCCGTGGGGTCCACGCTCGGCAGTGCTGGTGGGGAAGGTGGCACTCTGCACGCGATGGAATCAGCCTTCTTAGATGAGCATGCTGTGCCACCACCTCTGTAAACACTTGGAAAGGAAGTGAGCACGACAGGCACCAGTTTGCACGACACGGAGGTGTGTCCGGAAGAAGAAACAAGACAAAATCGGGGCCTCCTGCTGGGTGGGAAGCACCTGGCACTACGCCTTTTGAAAGAGCTTTGATACCTGCGCCGAGGAAACAGCACCTATGGAGGAGGTAATTTTCCTAAAGCTCGGCATCGCAGACACCCAGTGCAGGAACGAACACCACAGGAGTCTCCCAAGAAGAAGCCAGTCCCCCACCACGAGCCCATGTACGATTCTGCAGTCACACGGTCCTGTATCAGCCCCAAACGATGGCTAACCACGTGTCACAATAAGAGCAATTTGCCTTACAAATGGGGCAAAAATACACTAGTAGAAGTCTTCCTGTGGGAAATGATCAGCACTGGTGACTGACCCCCAGAGTTGGCAGAAGCAGGGAATAAAATCTTCATACATCAAATGTGTTCACCTAAAATATTACAGATATACAATCGTTCCCCAGGCTGCCAACTTCTGTGAGTCTACTAATTCGAGTTCCATCTTATACTTTTTGCATAAACCACAATGCGTAATCCATAATTTTAACTGTTTCTTTCGAATGTCACAACTTCTTAATCTTTGACAGGCGACTGCTTCATTCAACGGAAATCTTTCGGCAATTCTCCTTTGAGACTTTCCAAAGCACAGAACTTTGCTCTCACAGAAACACTGCTTTCTTCCCACATTTGTTTTCCACCAGCCTCCATAGTATTTAATTAAGTTATATAATTACGGTGAGAGGTAAAACTGGCAGGAAAGGCCCATTTCAGGCGGACAGCAGCACCTCCCAGGAGCAGGGCTCAGTGAGCCCCTCGCCACTGAGGCTGTGAACCCACACAACGAACACAGGTGGCGCCTGACATTGGAGGTGGGAGGCTGGGGGGGGATCTCGGGGGAGCCGGGGGAGACTCAGAGCCTTTGCAGGAGCTGTCCCCCACAGCATGCAGACAGGACATGAGGCACAGGGGCTGCATCCGCCCTTTCCTGAGCACGCTGCGTTTCAAACTTTCACAGCCAGGAGCGGCTGGCCACCCAAGCACCGGCCATGCTGCAGGCCCCTCTCCCAATCTCTGCAGGACTGCGAGGGGTGAAAGAGCCAGGAGTGGAGGGGTGGAGGCCAGGGGCCCGGAGGGTGACGAGCCCTGTCTCTGCGGAGCACTGGCCAGGCCCCAGGCCTGAGGCTGGTAGCCCTCCACAGTTAGGCTGGGACCTGCAGCATCAGGGCCGGGCTTGCTGGCGGCAGGAACGCCCACAGTCCACCAGAAAGATGAGCCTGAGACCAACGGGTTGCGTCTGGGATCAGTGGCTGGAGAAGCCTGTGCTGCTCTGTGGGAGAGGAGGCCTGCTGGTCCAGCCGTGCTGGCCTTGGTCAGGGCTGCTGGCGTGCAAGGTCAGCACCCCCACAGCTCTGTCTCACACACAGGACCCGCACGTGGACAGCCATGATCAGCCATCCAGAGACCGGATGCAGCCCTGCCATGGACCCAGCCTGTGGCTCTCGGCCCGGGACAGCCATCCAGCCCCGCCTAATGAAGGCCAGCTCTCACCCGGCCAGCAAACCCGGCTTAACCGTTTCAGGGAAACAGATTACACAGGTCCCCAGACACATGTAAACAGAGTGAAGAAACTTCTCATCTACACTTGCTGCCTTCAAATTCTTTCTACTAGCTCAGGCAGGATTATAAGGACTTCAAAGCAGCCTGGGTTCCAATTAGACTGTGTGACCACCTCAGGTATGCTAGAATATTCTTCTGATTAACGAGAGGCGCTCTTTGAACCGTGTGAGCTAAAAAAAGCTCTCAGAACCTTTCCAACAGACGCCACCATTCTCTCGCCCTGCCCCCCTGTTCTTTGGAAGAGCCGATCTTTCCAACGCTCCCAACACTCCGAAGGGCAGCCAGCCACCCCAAACACGACTTGGGCCAGGAGCTCCGAACCCGAGCCGTGAGCAGAGGGCCTGGGTGCAAGTGGGCACAGCGGTTGGCTTCCAGGAAATGAGGGGCACCGACAGGCCCGCATGGGCTTGTGAACTGAGGGGCTCACTCTCCCACTCTATACTGAGACCTCAGAGGTGCTTCTAGCAGCTCTGCTCTTGGCCATGACTCTCCATGCTAGAGAGTCAGAAAAGCCCTCTGATGACAAACTGAGCACTGCCCCCTGGTGCCCCACCTAGCCCACCCACCAGGAGCCTCCAGCAGAGGCAGCAGACTGCAGCACCACGGCGGTGGGCTCA